CCATTATATTTTGCGGGCTTTCACATGAAGCTCGGACTCCATCTCCTCTCGTGGATCAAGCTACATCTTGGATTTAGCAAGGACAATTCTCCAGGTATCTGCCATATCTTCCGCCTGAGAGAGAGCCAATATTGCTTTAACTTCTTAATGCTATCAGTGCGTCGTACAGGCATATTTGGGATTGTCTCGGATCTGGCACCTGCAGCATATAACTGCGGAGGTATAGTGTAAAGATTCGAACGTCTTTGTGAGTACAGTATGTCCTTCTGCAAGGGTTGCACATCCTGGATATTCCAAGGGGTGATTTTCATTTACAGCAGGTAAGTATCAAGCAAACTTCTGCGAGTCATTCACTGTTGTTCTATTCGCTGACTTGAAACAGTAGCAGACAGTACAGTAAGATCCTGGGCACGGTATGTAGATGGTAGTACAGAAAAGCACTAAGATATCATAATATTATATTATTCACATATTTCACTTAAGCAAAGTCCCGCGTTTCTACTACACAAACAATTCCTGTTTCTTGTGAGCATTCTCAAAGTCATACGCCTAGATCGAATGACGATGCTCGACCTGGTCTTCCGGCACCTTGACATTCCACGATGAGTCCTGGCTATTGGCACCCACATTATCGGACGAGCTGGGTCTAGTTTCATGGTGATCCATCGTAGTCTGTAGCCATGGGGGTACTAGTGAGTCGATGTTTCGCACAGGGACGGGCGCAGATGGTTCCTGATGCACGCTGCGGCGGTAAAAGACTGTCATGGGCAATGCTGCGGAAACAGGCGCCAATGGATCCCAAGAAGGCGATTGCAATGGGATGTCAGTTGGGATTGACAAGCTGCCGTCCTCAACATACTGCAAGCGAGGAAATCTTGGGAAGCTCGGTGGCGCAGTTTCTAGGATATAAGAGAGCCCAAGTGCATCGGACGAGGAAATAGGGTCCGGTGCATCAAAAGAGGGACCTGGAGGGTACAGCTCTTGTGAGTGGTCTCCCCAGAAGGGTATGACGCCGCTTCTGCTCGGATGCTGAGGCTGTTCAACCTCGTCTCCAAAGGGCCACCCTGCCGCCTGCGGTGCAGGAATAGACGAGTGTAAAGAACCGTCGGTCCCGGACGCGGTCAGATTGTCGGCTTGAGACCAGGTCCAACCCCAGAAAAATGCGGGCAACGTCTCCCACGAGTATGGTTCCGTAGCCCACCGCATCGAGTACCATGCATCTGCCGTATGATCCGCTGTCGAGTTGTCTGCGGGCATATACGAGTTCGGGAGTGCGATTGCGCTAAGCGGGGGTCCCCAGCCTGCATTTACGCCAGATTCGGATGGGAGAGTGCTGTTCCCATCATCGATAACCTCATACCTTTCTCCACGAGCAGTAACGTCTGCAGGGCACGTAATGGGTGAGCCACGTTCAGCACCACTGTCTCTTGGGATGGCGACATCTGAAGCGGAGCCCATATCGGACACGCTCCATCGGTGTTCCTCCATGGATACGCTGGCGTGAGCCTCATACGTTCTTAAGGTGTCACTAGAAGGCTGGTCTGCATAAGCCCTGTGGATTGGCGACTTCTCTGTTCGTGTTTCGATACAGATCGTAGTACGATGGTTCGCCCTCGGTCGATCCGACTGAGGAACGCACGCACTCCTGGCTTCCCGGCACGCTTCGCAGGGCGAGGTATGAGAACACTAGGAGCCAATTCCGTTAGTCAGAAACATCACCCACTAAACTCTCATCATATTATCTCAGTGTCTTGTGATTTGCGCACTTTGATTTTATTACGACGACATCTCTCACAAGCTCGTTTCACCCTGCGCTGCTATCCTTCTATCAGCTAATGCTCGCTCAGCAGATGGTGGCAGTTACACTGCATTCTGAATTCAATAATACATGAATCTACCTTAGTACGTGCCTCCAACGCCTTTCGGTGGTCCTCGACAGGCTCGGTAGCATTGGTATCCTCTTGGTTCTGACGGAATGGGGCTGCAGCCGATACGGAGCCTTCTCCTGCAATCGCAAGTCCACTAAGCCGCTCGCTGGTCCCCAATTCGTTTCTCAGTCCCCCGGAATATTTGTACTCCAGCGGATGCGGTGGGTGCTGCTCGTGCATGAGTAAACAATCGGCTTGGTCGGCCTGTGCACAGATGCAAAAAAAAAGGTATGACCCGTAAGAAGACTAGCACACGCCCCAAAAAACCTGGTTTGGGTTTTTCTGTGTTCGCAATGAGTGGCCTGTCATCTACTTTATATAGCCTTGGTTTAATGGCAGACTCAAATTACGCAGCAGCGAGAGGGTATGATGGAATGTCGCATGAAGATCGCTGGCGCCTGCCATTACACATCCATCTCGAATTATTGAAGTGCAGATCTTGTTCATGTCCAGTCATCCTGTGGTACAGCCTGCTAGGTAGCATCCAAGATAATTTTCATATGGTCAAAAGGCAGGAAGTAAATTTGCTGTTTCTGTGACGAACGGCGGGCATCAGGGGAGCGGCGTTGCTCTCAAGAGTACCATGTTGGCTCCCAGGGGCACATAAACATTTTCCGGGAACTTGGGCTGTTGTGCGGGGATCTGTTGCTCTTACGACCCCTGGGCTACACCTTCCCGAATAGTCGCTCTGAACCGGTCATCTGCAGAAAAGTGAGGCGCTATTGTCTTAGGCGCGAACATGGTCTCCTTTCCTCCTACGGAGGAAGTTATTGCTCATTACACAAATGGCCTCTTACTTCTACAGGCACTATACGAGAGAACCCAAAAAAAGTACATATGGGATTCGCGCGTCTAACACAATCGACCCGAATACCCAAAATATACGTGATGAATATATCGCAAGAACCAGATGTGTTACTTACTGGCCTGCAGTCGCAACCCGCTGCGTCCCTTCCATAAGCAATTCTTCGTCAACCTTACAATTCTCATACGAAACAGTGACAGTAAAGCAGACTGTCCATTGACCGCTTCGAGTCCAGGGGATCCAGATTAGGAATCAAAGCAAGCAGAGTCCGGTATCCCCGGCTGGCCCGTGACGACAGGAAAACAAGGCTGAGTGCCCGTGGAGTCTCGCTCAGCAGAGACCATCTGAGAGTAGGTTGTCCCCTGCCACCACACTGAGGACGCACTTTGCAATGGTCCAGAACTATCTGGATCCGATGGAATGCTTTTGAGGAGAGTTTCCTCTTCTGCAAGGAATGGTTCTGCGGAGGGTCCACTGACGCGGTCATTGTTCAACGAAGTAGACCAAGCATGAGGCTGAGAACTGAGGCTGACTTTGGGGAACGCCTTCGAACGCAACACCAATTTCTGAGAACTGGGTCTTGCAGTCCGCGATCGTTTCTTCTTGTTTGACGGCGAGAACCGATATTCCGGGTGCGCTTCAGCATGCTTTTGTTTCTCCATCACCGCGAGCGTCTTGTACTGCTTACGGATGTGGGGCGGTTCCATCTTCCAGCTCCGTCCGGTGAGGATGGAGATGGCCTGATGATCATCGTGGGCGAGCCAGTACTTCGCTCGATCACTGTACGCCAGCCGGTACAGCATGAATGAGTTCATCGGACGTGGAATCTTGCCATGCCGTTGTAGAGCCTCCTGGTGGCGTGTCTCGACCGAGCGGTCGACCCAGGCGCACATGTCTCTAACCGGGATGTGCGGCGTGCCGTTGGCCAATTCGCTGAGTGGGCATGGCAGGTCTAGATTGAGCTTCAACGTTGCGTGCTCGACTTGGCCGTTCCTTGTCATGGCTACGGCGCGATTCGACCGTCGGACTCTGTTGTCCTGACACCAAGGCTCTGGCTTTGTCTGGTCCGCATCGGTCTTGTCCATCGGGATGAACGAGTTCGCGCAGGCATGGGTTCCGTCAACTACCTACAGAGATCAGCATGCACCGAGTTGGTACGCCTGGTCTACCAGCTGACGCGCGCAGGAGGAAATCATCTCACCGGCTGTGAAACCACAGGATTGGGGCTTTCGGCCGAAATCATTGCCATAGGGGCAGACTGATCGAAGCGCTGGGACCGTCAAAATATGAGATTTTATGGCTCCTGGTTGCCGTGCATGCCTACCACGGTGTATTCCCCAGAGCCTGGGGATGGAATGTCAGAAGTGCACGGGAGGTACTGCTTGAGATCTGCACAGGCGGTACCAGGTGTGAAACATGGCTGGTAGAATGGGTGCGGCAAGACAGATATCAGACCTCTTGATGTGATTGGGAGAAAGGTAGATATTTCTGTCCCAGTTTCATCGGATATGGAGGGATAATTGGCTGCATATAGGTTGGACATTCTCCATAGAATTAAACGAAAAGACCCTCCTCGGGGGCAGATTGATGATTCAAATGTCAGTCACCAAACAATGACGTGGTCAACGAGCGCACGTTGTTATAGGGATGGACCACAACAGCAACTTTGGGTCCTTATAGAGAGTAGGCATGAATCGGAGTGCTTTCATTCCAACTTGAGCACTGGCACTACATTCTCGCTTGCTCATTTTGAACCAGTAGCGGAATTCTTCCCGATCGCGGCTGGTGGGACTGTGGTCTACTGGCACCCAGGGACCCCTGCGATGTAGCGACGTACTAGTCACGGACAAAGGTTCGTAGGGTTCCGGATTGAAATTGGCTGGGTCTGTTTCGGTATACTCGGCGATAGTTAGAGCGACGTGTGAGTGGACCCACCGCAAGAAATGAGATCGCCATTTATAAGCAGCCGAATTAGGCAACAAGGTTCTATCGGGCGTCTTCGATGGCCCAACTGAGACATGCCGAACAGCAGCTATAGGACTTGTTAATCTCCAGCATCCACTAATCTGAGCCATCCACAGCGATTCCCACTCCAAGATACTCTCGCCTAGTTGGAATGCCTTTAAGGGAACTAAGGGGGAATAGGTTCCAGCTTGAACCAAGTGGGCTCCGAAACCCATCAGTCATTCGCCCTCAAGGTAGGGCTCCCGGAGAAAGCAACCCCCATTCTTGAGACCCCGGAATAGCCAGTCCGATCGATAGTCACAGTAAATCACCGGAACCGCATGGGGGCCAAGATCTTCTGGGCACACACCCCTCCCTCCAATGTGATTTGATCCAGATAATCAAGGTTTGATAGATCGTCCCGGGAGATTGGTAACCAATTATCGATAAGCATTTCCCAGCCTTTAGAGACCCAGACGCGTTTCCTGTCAGGGCTTATTGAGTATAGAAGAGGATGTAGAAGACCACAACGAGCAGTTAGTACAGGGAAGCTTGGGGCAAGAACTGCCCATTCGCAAGGGCAAACACTAGGGAACAAGCAACAGGAGCGACCCCGAACATGAGTACGTCGGGCGATCGCGAAGTGATCTTTCGAAGGCCGCCGGAGCCTTGCCGCCCAAAAAAAAACACGCGTGTTGGGACTACGGCGCGATGATTTGGAATTCGCTACCATAGCACTGGGACAGCATCGAATGCCAACGCGCCGTCATGCGATCGCAATCGGGCGAAAGCTATCGTGCGCCCTAGACTTATACTAATCGCAGTAGACTAAACTCTAACAAATGAACCCGGCGGTCTAGATCTCCTTGTGTTGTCGCTGTAGAAGTCCTTGAATCATGTCACAGGTTGCTTTCCCATCGCGATGTACGACACTCTTCTTTGTGGGAGGATCGTCCGGACGTGATCGAAGATAGCCAATGATCGTCTCCGTAAAGTGCTCGCCGTCTGGTGCCTCAATAGCTTTCTTGCCAGAGGCAGGACTTTGACTTAGCTTGACGGCGTGGCCAGTCGAGTTCCGTAACACTGTCACCTGAAAGTTCTTTGTCTCACGTTGAAAGCCACCCGGGATGTGCTATTTTGGCCAGAACGGCTGTGGTCCGCTCCCACGGCCGCTCAGGGCTGACCTTTGCCGGAACGAAAAGAGACATGGGCCTGTCGATCTTGGTAGTACGCTATAACGCAGTCTGGACAAGAGCGTAGAATGATCAGGTTGCATTTATGTCACAGAGACAAGTGTGAGCGTTGCATCGGCCTGGAACTGTGGGGAAGCTAGAGCTGCCTCAGGTCTGCGTCCGTCCTGTGAGACGTGAGAAAATTAGCGTCTCTGACGCCCTGATCGTTTGGATTCGTTGGAGGTCAGCCGCCGCCTCAGTCGTGATACGACCCCAGCTGTGGGTGTGGGTCTGGCCATCGGACGCGATCGCCAGGCCTCTCGGTGGCTCCAGATTAGCAGTCCGGCCGACTGGTTGATGGCAGTATGGGAATGCGGTCTAGAGACACTTGAAATGCCCACCAGCGATCTGGTGGTGACTGTTACTGTCCCCATCGCGAGCTTGGAAGGATGTCGCTGCCAAATGACGAATCTATCATCAACAGCTTTGTCGATGGTCTGAAACTGCGCATCGATTTTGGCGACTCCAGCTACCACTGAATGTCAAAAGTGCATAATTTCTTATTTGTGGCATCGGGAAAGCCCTTGGAAAACAGTCCAAGCCAAATTGACCGATGAGGATGTGCAGGGGTATACGGCATCTGACGAGAATCGACTAAAAAGGAAAAGGAAGGGGCTGGCTGAGAAAATAGATGCGATCGTGGCCTGGGTGGACGAACAGGCTCTTAGGCTATCCACTCATGCTCCTTCGTACACTGGGGATCTACTATACCAGGGGAGAAGTACTGATCGCATTACAGAAGGTTGGGCATGATGATCTCTACAATGTATAAAACCCAGTACGGTAGCAAGGGGTCCTCTCCTGTCGGTCAATAAAGCTAGCCTGTCTTAGGTCATATGCTGAGAACAAGATCCGTAAATATTTACCACCCTCAGCGATAGAAAGACACCAAGACACATTATATCTACCATATATTGTAATGAGTCGGCAGTATTCTCTGAAATACGTGAATATCCGGTAGTTTGGCTGGGGCAATGTGGTGTGGTTATTACCTGGGGCATGATGGTCCACGTCCTTTTGCTTTAGGGTCAGGTGATATTCCAGGATGGGTTCTTCTGTGCAATGCTGGGCATGCCGTCTTTGAGAGGAACTTGTGAGAATCGTACATCCAAGATCAAGAGGCTCACATTCGCGCCCTTATGATGTAGCATTCCTCCAATCTTGCACGCCGAAGGCTGATGCGGATTTTACCCGCGTCCAAACATCGTCCTGCCGTGGGCTTTTCAGGACCTGGTCAGACTGTTTCCTGGATAATGCTTTGCTAGTTTCTGATCGGAGAATATGAGGGTGGGCAATAGCCAGACCGATTCAACCCCCCACCCCCTCGACCCTCTGGGGTATAAAACCAGTACCTCCGTCTTGTCATCTTGCAGT